GTCGCTAGGTCACTAGAGGGCCAAATCGCCTCTCATCAGGTACCCTTGATCTTTTACGGCCTTTTAGTACTTGCACCAAGTCAATCCTCACTAGTGCAATTATTGGTTGTATATGAAGATGAAATGGTAAAAATTACATCTCAAATTCAGTTATAAACGAAAGGTGTGTTGAGTCACCAACCTGAAGAAATGTCCAAGTTTTCTTCTTTTTTTCCATTTATCCATTGTTAAAACCTGCATGAGCTATATGGGACCCTAATCAATATATGGAAACCCTCCAGGAACATCTGGCTCCCCTGAAAGGTGCAACCCAGTCAGCAGTACTGATACTCCATGACATAGGATGCCATGTCCATGTTGCCAACTTGCCATGGAATGAAACGGTTGGATGAATAATGCCACAATCCACACTACCTTTTGTGAATTGAAGCAAATTGCTGTTTAATTTGGACACCCCAGATAAGAATATTATTAGGCAGTACTGTGTAATTAAGCTTTGGATATGACAAAGCAGTTACAGGTTTAAAGTATACAGATTGAGGGAATCCATAACTGCTGGTGCAAGCAATTTAGTCAACTAGCTGAGGGCCGGTGTAATGCACTAGTGGCTCAAGGCTGATGATGAAATCATTGTTGTTTTTTCTTGCTCTATATTTCTGTATGCGACCCACCATTGTTAACTGGGTGTGTAGTGGGTATATGGAAATCCACAACTCTTGTGTCCTTTACAGAGAACACGAGGAATCAACTCACTGTGGGGTGGTGATCCATATTTTTCTGCTCCATGGATGGAAGTACAGCTGCATCTTTGTGAAGCTCTGACCTTTGGGCAGCAGTTGGTGATCCCAACAAATGCTTTAGCTTGTTGTTAGTTGGCATGGAGGAAGAAATCAAACGTACGTACGCGTATTTGCCCATTTGTTGGGTCCTACCCCACTGGATGTTTTTGAAGGTAAGTTTGAGAGAGATTAGGAGGGTGGAATTTGGGGGTAGAATAATCCAAAAGCTCTGAGGCTTCTCAACTTTTGCAATGAATGTGAGTGGGAGTGATTGATCATCTTCGGATCGATCCAAGAATGGTTTGTGGAAGTACTTGTGAGAGTAAACTCTAATGGGATCATATGTATTTCTTTTAAAAAGATTTCCTCATCATCAGGACAACTAGGGGGCTTGTCTATGCTACTTACCCTATTTCTGCCAGGTCTGTGGATGATGTGGTTAATTTAAACAGGCCACCCCACCAAGGGGGACCCTCTGGATTGATTAATTAGACGTATATATGTCTAATGCTTTAGGCTGTTTTGGTGGCTTTATTTCACTTATTCCCACTTAACAAATTTTTTATTATGTTGTATAGCTGAGAACAGTGATAGTGGGACAATTGATGCCAATACAAAGGTGTGGAATGGGGCAATTTCTCTTAATATTTACTTGTCCAAAGTTTGAATTTCTCTTAATATTTACTTGTCCGGCCAATACGCGATATCATGTGGGTAGACTCTTGTGGGCAGGAAATCTGATGTACATGTCTCACTACATCTACATGGCTTCTTCCTGACAAGTGGAGGGATAATTTGGCCAATCCATATGTATCATATAGATCATTCATTATCCAATCCTGTTGTTATTCACACCAGTTATGTATCAAATAGGGGTATATAATACATATATATTTGCATAAATGTATATATATATATGTAAAATTTTAGAACGGGTTCATTCACCAACCTAAGCCCAGACCAGGCCCAAGCCTAACTAAAATGCATCAACTTATAGTATAGGTTGGGCTCGGATAGGAAAACTGGGCTTGAGCTCTGGTTCGGGTCTTAAATCCAAATTCTAGGGTTAGGCTTGGGTTGACCATAAACCTGGCCCTACCCACCTGACTTGCACTTAGGCAGACTGTTCCAGATTTAAGGCCAACCCTAGCGCAACACTATGGTAAGGATCTCAGCCTCATGCCTAGCTCAACTTAACCAAGGTCAAGGCTGAAGTTTGCCAACCTAAGACCAGCTAGATCTAAAGTTCTAAACCCAAACACAACTTTGGTTAGCTTTGTTGGGCTTGGGCAGGTTTGGACATGGTTTTAAAAACCGGACTGGACCGGATGGTCAGACTGGTTGACCCAGGAACCGGTCAGGCTACCAGTTCCATTTTACCCTAAAACCGCTCTTAGGCCAAAAACCATTGATTTGGTCAGCGACCTCCTGACCCTGGCAGTCGAACCTTCTGACCCAGACAATGGTTTTTGGCTGTTTTTATTTTTATTTTTTATTTTTTAAATTCAGAATAGACCATCTGTTCAAACTAGATGGTCAGACCATTCAACTCGGGAACCACTCCTCAAAATGTTTCTGTGTCCAGTCCAGTTTTTAAAACCTTGGGTTTGAATGCCATCTTATACTTATTTTTCTCTTTTACATTTATCACCTGGGCTTTATGATCCAATATACATGTAGATGCATGTAATCCAACCAAAAATTGACTTTGGGTTGGATTGGACCCTAATTGGGCTCAGCCCCCTTAGAAATAAACCAATAAAAATTTCTGAGAGGAACAAACCATAAATTTCCTTAAAATAAACTCCCGTTATTTTGTTCAGTTACTAAAATAAGTGTGGATAAATTTCATGGTAGGTAAGATGACTTACTTGACTGGCGAATGGTGGATTTGCAAAAGGCACAAACAGAACATCTTGTCTAATTGCCTTGCAACAACAAGACGGCAGCTAACAACGTACGTATGAGATTCGGTGATATTATCAAATTTGATCTGACTTAAATATAATATTTTGATCAATTTTTAGTTTAACTTATTAATGTATTCAATGTTTTGTTTCAATCTGAATTTGATCTCAACCCAATATAATTGTGATGGATGGGATTCCAGCTTTATCCAATCAAATTTGAATCTAGGTATACCCAATCGGATCTGATCTATTTGCCTGTATTGTGGTTTCCTCAAAATACATTAATTACTTAGGATTTCAAAATTTCAATTTAAAATATACCCACATAAAAGAGCTTATTTTAACCATGTGGCTAGGTTTTCTCAGATATCTCCTATGCAAGTTTAAATACTGGGTAAAGAGACGAATTTAGTCTTTTTTTAGGGCCTAAACTGCGTTTACCACATCTAAGGATCTTGGATACAAGGTGGAGTTATTTATTTCTATTAATAATTTAGGGTTTGTTTGGTTCATGGGAATAGGGGTCTGGAATTGGAATCAGAATGGATCATTCTGATTCCAATTATTTGGTTGGATCGAATCGGAATCTCATTCTCATTCCTGCTGGAATGGTAATGACATTCCCCCATTTGAGGGAATGGCCATTACCTTCCTCTCTCCTTTAGGAATGAAATTCTAAAATGGATTCTTAGGGTCCCTTTGATTCGCAGTTGGAATCAGAATCAAAATCCTTCGGAATCGGAACCGGAATGGTCCATTCCCATAATTGTTTGGTTCAGACAGGAATGAGAATATGAATTGAAATCAGCAGAAATGAAATTTCATTCCCAAGGGAGGGGGAGGGAATGGCCATTCCCTCAAATGGGGAAATGTCATTCCAATAGGAATAGGAATGAGATTCTAATTTCACCCAACAAAACAGATGGAATCGGAATGGGCTATTCCAATTCAAATTCCAGGCCTTTATTCCTGCAAACCAAGCGGGGCCTTAGTTATTACGACTAGGGGTGTGAATTGGGTACCCAATTTGAAGATTTTTTCAATTTAGACAACATTAGGTCTAGATTTTTAGCTATTACCAAAAAAAGGTCTGGATTTTTAGCAGGGCCCATTCAATTTTTAACAAAATCCCAAGTCGAATTCACCCAAGTTGCATCCTAGTTATTATCTAAAATTCTCCTCCGACCGATTACGATTAATCTACCTATTAACTAATTTTCATGTGATAAAATTACTCTTATTTTTATTTGTCATTCTATTTCATTGCTTGCTCATTCAACCAAGATTCAAAATATACTGTATCACATCTCTTGGCCACTGATACGGGTAGTTTTAAAAATTAAAAGATTTTAAATTTTTTACAAACTCTAACGAACCTATAACGTAACAGGTCTCCTGTCAAAAATCGCCAGACCAAAATATATAAACAAATAATAGTTTCGTTGAACCAAAACTCATTACACAAAATTTGCATATCAAGAATATCGGTACCTTGGAGTGAATGGATAAGCCTGCTTTTGTAACTTCAGTTCAAAGAATAGAGTTAAAAGAGGGGCCATCTTGCAAACACCATAGTTTTTAACAGCAAATGTCTGACAAAAGGGTCCCTAGAGGTATCAAAAGGTGAAGGTAGGTTTAAGATAAAGTCAGCAAAGTTGAGGGGCGTTTCAGATGATGATAACCCTTAATAAGTTTTGGCAGCAACTAGTCGAACGTTTTGCTAATTGAGCCCTAATGGAAATTTTCATTACCATTGCTGTCTTCACTACGTAGTTTTAACAGATTTAGACAGTGGAAAGAAAATGGGAAACAGAACCCAAAGGAAATTTTCATTAACCATGAATCTTGAATTTGTTTGATACAGCACATCTATGCAACATAAGCCCATGTTGGCTTTTGGCTGGATGGAAAAAAATGGGTATACGCACTATTTACCAAGATTACAAAAAATATCTTGCCCTACCCTGTGGACGCCAGCACTTGCCTTCAAAAGTTTACAAGGCAAATTTCGAGCTCCTTTTTAGTTGAATAAACCCATTCCACTCATTATGCACCACTGAAACTCAAATGAGAACAGGGTAGACAAATAAGGAAGTAAGAATTTCTTCAAAAATTTGGGGGAGTGAGTGTCCTAAGCCAGATCCTCAAGAAACAAGTTCCACTTATTTTACTTGATTTGAGTTTTTCGGTCTCCAACAAGAAATCTGTTCGGCTGTATTTGGGTCTCAATCTATTAAGCCTGTAAGAAAAAAAAAATATATATATATATATAAGAAGTTGGATGAGAAAGATCAAAGAACAAGCTTGAGAATTCTTCTGGGCAATGATGTCATGGTGCAAAAATTAATGATGTGAAATGACATGGAAAATCAGTCAATTGGTTACTACATTTGTCATCAATGATGTCAAAATGCATTCAATGTGCAAGCTTGTTAGCATTCTTAAGAATTTCATTATATAAAAAGTTGCTCCTCACTTTTCACTTAATCTGCTAAATGTTTGTCATATGGCGTACCACTGTTTGAGAAATCTGGAGAAGAACCAAGGAGATGCTATACAAGCATATTGAAATAGCAATTCCAGCAATAAAAATGTATAGCAGCCGCCGATTGTCCTTTGCAGGTACAAAAACTGCCTTCAATGTATTTGTTAGCTCGAAAAGCCGGTATGATATCTTCAGAGCAAGTTGAGACAGCATCCAGTCAACACAAATATTGACGTTAGTTTATCCTTCTATTTTTTCTTTTCTCAAACTTTATTAGAGATCAGGGCAAGGATTGCTTACCAAGATATAAATTGCAGTTGTAAGCATAAAGTTCAACAAGGGATAATCTGGAATAAGAGCAAGCAGCCACTTGGGCTGTCCATTGGGCACACTTGATCTGCAGATTTATGTTGAAAAGACACCAAAGCGTTTCTCTTTAAAATTGTTGACAGAAATGACATTAACATTAAATAAAAGGAAAATACCTGGTTTATTGAACTACAGATACAGTAACTAGATATATTCCTATGGAAGATCCTACTTGAAAAAAAAAAAAAAAAGAAAAAACAAAATGAAGTCTGCACACCTCAACCAAATGTGGAACTGGGAAATATAGGTCTCCAATGTTATCTTGCCAAGCCATCTAGTTCCAAGGAAATAGAAATATCGTAACTCAGAATGTGGAAGTATAAAAATAAAAGAAAGAAAAATCAGGTAGAAACAAGTCCATAAAATGTAAAACTTACGCAAACAGAGTCAAAGAGAAACTACGCAGTTGCTGAGTGACATTCCGCAAGCAAAGGTAGACACTGAAACAACAACAAGGATAGCTGTAAGAGACTGAAAATCCTATGTTTTTACAATAAAAGTCAGAATCTTAACTACTACTGTAAAACTCATCAATACGCACGTTATGGGGATCCATGATGTGTAAGGATGGAACTTGTTGTATGTAACCTTGTCCAGCTTGTAAACATATTCATACCATAAATAACCAGCCTAAAATAATGACAAAAGCTAAGTCAGGAAATCATTTAAAATTTAAAGAAGTTGAAAAAGGGGATCTGTTAGCAAACAAGAGAAATGGGAAAAAAAATAAATAAATAAAAAGGTCACTATTGATCATATTAGCACATTCAACAGCCATGTGATTATGTAAGTTTCTCCATCAAAGATGATTATGTAACTTACTAGTAAAGCAATTGCAATAATGGTTGTTTTGATTGAGACTCTTCGCTTGGTCTCAGATTCCTCTAGTTTCTCCATCAACTTCTCAACCTATGCATTATTAAATGGAAAGGAAAACAGATAAGAAAAATAATGAAGATTTCAAGGACTTAATAAATGGGAAACCCAGAATGAAGGTAATATAAATTGGGTATAAAAACAGTGTTCAAGAGGTTACTGTGGGATGATAATATGCATATATCATTCCAATGATCCATATATAACGGTCAAGGCCTGATCGAAAATGCCATTCATGTAAAAGTGCAAGGTTTGATTTTGATGGGTCTGCATCTCTGTATCCTGCCATAGAAGAGAACCATCATTCTCTGTAGATAAGACAGTTGATGTGATAAAAGGTGCAGGTGAAAAAACAAAGCAAAATAGGTAACTAACCCAAAAGAAATGTCAACGGACTCCAGAAGAGATCAAAAACTCCAGGAACTTCCCATATCAAGATAACTACCAAAAAACATGTGATGATCTTCACAGCCATAACTGATCCTATCTCATTGTACTTGCTAAAAATACCAAGTGCTCCATACACCATAAGAGTGAAAAGTGTGTGCATTGGGCAGATGTAGTACAACATATAGTCATTATTAAGAACAATGCAACAAAATGTCACAAAAAAATTTAGTCGCCACATCATCTGCATCAGAACAAAAGGATTTGTCAATCGAAAAGAATTAATATAAAATTAAAGAAAAATCTCATGGAGAAAATGATAAATAATCAGAAAATCACCTGAGCAAATCGTGCAAGACTGAAATCTTTCCGTACATAGTAATAAGAAAAATTCCCAAACCCAGTCATCCAGACATATGCGGCAATGAAGACACGTATTGCATTATATATCTCCGTTGCAGCAAAATAGTGGTACATCAAGAACAAGACCTATTGGAAACAGAAAAGTATATTACTCAACTATGGACACATGCTTGAAGCAGAAGCCTCTACTATATTGTGAATACGGATACAGTCCGGGTGAAATGTGGAAAACTGGTACATGTATACAAAGCAAATTTTAGAACCCAGCCTGGAGGCTGAACTGCTTTCCCTCCAGGCCAATGGGTCAGTGGTTCAACTATCTAGATAAAGGAGTCAACCTGTGACATCATAACAAGAAATTTCAAAATAAATAAATAAAATAGTACAGAAAAACAGTAACCCATTAAATGGGTCAGATGGGTCAATGGTTCCACTGTCCAGGTCAATGGGTCAATGACCAAGTCAACGATTTTTGTATTATCAGGTTTAAGGTGACTGAACTGGAATTGCGACAGGGTCAAGAGTCCAATCAGCCAGGTCAACAAAAGGGTTGAAAACATTGGTCCAAAGTGATTTAGTCTATTTAGAGGAACCAACTGAAAAGTAAAAATCACGAGTATGCAAAACCCCTCTATTCAAACATCTAGCACAATGAAGTGAAAAGGGGACATGAAAGGAACTTCCATGCATACTTGGAAAACATGAATAAATAAAGCACCAAAGGATAATTAAACAATTGATGCACAATGTAAATAAATGGTGGTGCATAATTAGAAATGAAAAGAACACTGGAGAGAAGGATAGTTGGAAGTCAGTTAACCATAACAGAGTATATTATCCATTTGGAATTGCTTAGGAAGATTTTGTTTCTCCAGATAGGCTCTTTGATTTCTGCCTTTCGGTGATGGAGAGTTGATTGGGCAAAGCTCTATTAGTCCATTTTCTGAAAACCAGCCATTTGGAAATTGTATGGTATCCATATTTGGGCACATGCTGACATCTTAGAGTCAAATATATTTCAGGTTTTTCTAAAGTTATGCAGCACAACTAGTATCTGTATTGCACACCAGCGTTGTCCTTGTTACGTAGAGCAAGGGACCTCTTCAAGAAAGTAGGTTTTATCCTTTCCATACTTAAGGAAAAAGAAAAGGTTGTATGCATATTTTTAAACGAAGTTCCTGGAGACCCATGCACAATCAAAACAATTAAGGTGAAGATCTCTCTCCAAAACATTCGGTCCAAGTGAATAAGGAATTAGGGAGTTAGCCATTCCCCCTCATCTCATTTAGCTTCACACATTGTTGGAGATGCCAGTGAAATGCTAGCTTGATGTGGATCCTTGCTTATTAGGCAACTTAATCCCTCAAGGAACTGGACATTTTAAGAAGATTGAATTCAAATCTCTTAGAGGGTGTACTGCAACAATGCCCAAAAAAATGATCTATGAGGGTGGAAATATCCAGGAGAATTGAATCTTGAGAACACTGTTATTAAAGGTTACAAATTATACCCAAGCACTTATTCTTCTTGGGTATAAATGCCTTATTTTTACATTATACTGAAGCTGACCACTGAGATTGTGACTTGCTGTCTCAAGCAGGCTTTTTCAATAGGAATTCATCCAAACAGGGAAAAAGAAAAAGAAAAAAAGGAGGAAAATGATGGTGCCTATAAGGTGGGCTTGCTTAGGTGTGCAAGTGCCACTGAAAACCTTGTATTCTCTTTTTCCCCCTCTTATTCTGTTTCTTTTTCAAAAATGATTTTATAAGGATTTTCTCATACTAGCAGAAAACAAAATGGAAAGCAGAACAAATACCTACCTGCATCCATCCCTTCCACTCCTCAGTTTGATGCCGATTAAGGTAAAGTATTGATTTTCCAGAGAATGCTGACTTGTCATGGTGCTTCTTGAGAGAAGTCATGGATGAAACTATGATGAGAAGAATATAGAGGAACAAGAAGAGATCACGACTGTATTTCTGCAATGGCAGGTTAGAATGTATTAAAAAAATGTTGCATCACAATGATAAAATATAAATTGATAGTATATACATTATAGTCTAATTGGCTTTCCTCTTACATGTACATCTAAATCAGGAATCTCTACTTCTACAACTTTGATTCCATTCTAACAAGCAAAGAAAAAGGATCTGAAATGCAAGATAATGGTCAATTGACAGAGAAAAATTAACATTTGGCTACCTTAAGCAGCAGGGATGCATTGAGTAAATGCTTTGTTTCTTGTATGTACTGTGTAAAGTTTGAAGTAGACCAATGTTTTTCATGAGAAAATCAACACTTGTGACATGCTTCAGGAAAGAATACCAAATTACTGCTCATCTCCTAGCTAGTGTGTACTGTGTAAAGCTAATGGCGAGTTGTCCTATCACTTACTAATCTCCTGTCCCTTTGTTTCTTGTATTTGGGTTGGATTCTGCTCTTTATTTGGATGCAGGTGGAATCCTCCCCCCAATATGAAGAGTTCTTTCACTCTACTTTCTCGGACAAGGGGAGAAAAGCAAGGAAGCTTTCACAAAGATTATCTGTAAAAAGGTGGCACATTGGGTAAAATCCTCTGAATATTCTTAACAAATAATATAATTAGGAATTGGAGAGAAGTGGCTTACTCATCCTCAGTTAAGAATAAAATGAGCATTAGGTTGACCCAACCAGAGGAAGGATTTGTGAAGCTGAATTTTCAAGGAAGCAGTAGAGATAAACCAGGCCACATAGGAAGTCAGCAGTGGGTGGAGTCTTCAAAAATGACAAAGGTCATGTGATTGCTTTGTTCTCTGGACCAATTGGTATAGGGGATTCTTTAAGGGTGGAGACGATGGCAGTTATGGAAGGATAAGTGTTTAATGTTCTGTAAAGGGGAGGGATTTTGTATCTCCCTTTCAGTAGATGCATACTTGTAATTATAATCTGGCTTTTTAATAAAATTTCAGTTATCCTATAAAGCTGCAATAAGCCTCAAAATAACTGAAATAATTACAACCGCACTTCTAGATGATAGTTATGGTGGCTCATACAGGATTTTTCTTTGATTGATAACAATGTCAATATGATTTGATAATGTTGTAATTCTCTTAGTGCTGCAGGGGACACTATTGCAATTTTACCATTTTTTAATTATGCCACGCTATTATAAATATAAGGGGCCAGGCACTGCCAGCCCAGATTCTTGACTCTCCAATTTAATTTCTATCTTCTTCTATCGACTCTTTTCTTCTCTGCTTTTTTTCCCTTTCCCTTTGACTCCTTTGTTGAATAATATCGTAGCAGAGCATACAATTGGGCATAAGAAAACACTAGATCGAGGTCTGCAGCAACAGCACTTATCCTTTTTTAATAGAAAACTGAACAAACCTCAATTGTACTAGTCTGATCTCCCTTCCCTTCATTTCTCTTCATTCTTTCTTGGTCATAACACTAGGAAGAGTGTTCTTTGGTGGTGAATACATGCTGTGAGGGAGTGTGTGGCTCTCTTTCTTGAAGTTGTGGATCATGTATCCTTCCTAAGCAGGTACATGTGCTGTCATCAATGTTGAAAGGGTGTTGTGAACATCAGCTATGTGATCAGTTTCAGTTAAGTTTTAGTGTTCTCTTGTCTTCGACTAGGACTGGTGACCCTTTCTTATGGTCTCAAGTGTGTGTGCTGAAGACTATTGCTTGTTTCCAGAGACTTTGGTGGATTTCTGAAGTTGGAAATGGAGTACACTTTTCCTGGACAGATACTGCTTTAGTCTCTGCCTCCAGCCTTTTGTGAATGCTGGTTGTTAAAGTTTTGAATCTTTTTTTCACTTGAAAAGTGCATGAGATTGATCAAGGTACAAAGCTAGGTTGGTGACAAAAGGGTAAGCACAGGTGTATGAAATTGACCAAGTATGCTTACCTAGAGAGAAAGGGGGTCTAGGAATTAGGAAGCTGAAGGTGATAAATACTGCTTTGCTCAGCAAGTGGTGCTGGATATTTGCTGCTGAAAGAACCTCCTGGTGGAGAGACTTAATTGCCTCCAAGTATGGGGTGGACGGGTAATTGGAAATCTGAAAATCCTCTCTCTAGTTAGGGCTTCTCAGTTTGGAAAGGTATCCTAAAAAGTCAACCTGTTTCCTGGAAGGTGTGGAGTTTAAAGTGGGCATAGGTTACAGGGTTAAATTTTGGAGGGACCCCTGGTGTCTGGATAGCCCCTTGGCCGAAGCCTTTCCCCAGTTCTTTCAGGGTGCTGCAAACCAAGAAGATTCAGTGGTTGATTCCTATATCTTCTCCAACAGCTCAGTGACTTGGTTTCCCCGGTTTAGAAGAGATCTGTTTATAGGGAGCTAAATGAGGTGGGATCTGTTTGATAGGGAGCTAAATGAGGTGGTGGATCTGCTGAATCTATTACATGGCCAAAATATTGATATGCTTAGTGAAGACAAGTGGATATGAAAATGGAGTAAGGATGGCAACTTTTCAATCAAGCCCTTATCCTCTAAACTTGGCAGCACAGGGCCTGTTAACTTTCCCTGTAAACAAATCTGGAATGCAATTTCTCCCTCTAAATCCAATTTCCAGGTGCAGACTATGGTGCTTAATAAGTGCCTATCCAAAGTCAGCTTGGAGAGGAGGGATCTGCAGCTCTCAAACCTTACTTGTGGGCTGTGTGGACTGATGCCTGAATCTACAGATCATCTAAGTATCCACAGTTCAATCTCTTCTAGAGTGCAGGAGCATTTTCTAAAGTCTGCTAGAGTTCGTTGGGTCATGCCGGGATCAGTCAAAGGCCTCCTGTTTAGCTGGAATCTGGCAGGTTTGAAGAAAAAAGGAAAACTAGTCTGGAAAACAATTCCTGCAGCTATACTTTGGTCCTTGTGGTCAGAAAGAAACAATAGAGTTTTTTTCTAACCAATGTTTTAAAATGCGGAGGCGTGACGTGAGGCGTTCCACATGTTTTAAAATGCGGAGGCATGATGCGAGGTGTTCCACTACCTAAAGGCGTGAGGCGTAGTTCAGAACGCAAGAGGCGTAAGCCTCCTTAAGAGGAGGAAGGGGTTAGGAGGAGGAAGGCGTTCCACTACCTTAAAAGTCTTTTATATTAAGAAGAATAAAGATGCATAACATTAGTTGAAAGGGGGGGGGGGTCTTGTTGAAGCGGAGGCTAAAGACCCACCCTTTCAACTAATGCTATGCATCTTTATTCTTATTAATATAAAAGATATTTATTAAAAATAAAGAATAAATGAGATCACCTCCTTCCTCCTCCTAACCCCCCTCCTCTTAAGGAGGCTTATGCCTCCTTGTGTTCAGGAGGCTTACGCCTCACACCTATAGGTAATGGAACGCCTCACATCACGCCTCCGTGTTTTAAAACATTGGTCAAAAGTAATGCAGATTCCAGTCCAAAAGCGGCTACTTTGTGCAACAAATGATTAGGACTGCAAAAAATGCGGATCAGCTGTTGAGAGGATGGCATGTTGTGACAGGGTATCAGTCTAGAAACATATAGAGACATGTGGATTGGACAGCTCCTCCCAAGAATGCCAGGCTAAAACTCAACTTTGATAGATGCAGACTTGGCAACCTAGGGGCTTCTGGCATTGAAGGGGTAGTGAGAGATAGCAACAGCAACATATACCTTATTTATTCAAGCCCAATTGAGCGGGACATAGATCTCAGTAGAAATGCTTGCACTTATTCAAGGGCTAAAGCTTATCTCTATGCATGGATGGAGTGACTTCGTGGTGGAAGGGGACTGTCAAACTGTGATAGGATGGATGCAATCTGATGAGGACATTGGTTGGAGCTACAGGTCTTTAGTTTGACAGGCTCAAGCTTTGAGCTTTCAGTTGAACAGCTCATTCAAGTGGATTCCAAGGTCTGTAAATGACTTGGCCAAATCAGGGGTTGTGAGTGATATTGGGGTACTCCTGGCCGGGGATGAACATGCAATTGCTTTTTTTCTTGTTTTTGTTCCATTGCTTTGGTTAGCCTTGTACTACTTCCTTCTATTCTGAGGTAGGAATGTTTTTTTTTCTCCTAATGAATCAATTTTGCTGTTATTATTGATAAAAAAAAAAAAGTCTGCATATGAAATATATGGTTTAGCCATCTGTATATATAACAACTGATAAACTAACCTTCATATCTACCTATGCTTTCTAGTATATTCCCATCACAAGCACTAAACTTGTTTGGATCAAGAGGTGTATCAATAAGTTGGGCTCCTAACTTTATAGTATCCTTTAATAGATCAAGGATATACTTTCTTCGAGAAACAAATTTACCAGGCTTGGATTGAACAACTTTTTTTCTGAAGATAAATAAGTTTTATTAAAAAAAAAGAAATTACAAGAAAGATGACAAGTAATCACCGAGAGTAGGACAAAATAACAATAAAAAAGAAAATAAGCCCCTCCAACCAAAACACCAATCCAGCAAAACCAAAGCTCACCTAAACCTCTAAAACACCAGCAACAAAAGACAGATGGAAAAACAAAAAAGAAACACTAGACAAAGCACCCTTCAAGACAATTAAAAATTACTCTGCTGCTTTATTAATAACTTTCTTGGATTTTTTTCACCATTTTGTTAAGCCTACCCCAAATAAACCTCCCTTCAGCCTAGCAAAGACTTTCAAAACCTGAAGCATCTAACCGTATTGGAATACTTCTCAACATCCTTCAATTCCAAAAGGCAAACATTCATTTTCTCTAGTTCCCAATAAGTATTTCAACTCATCTAGGTCCTTGATCTCAAATTGATCACCCAAGAACTTCTCTACCTTGAAATATCTTAAGGATTGTTTCGCTGATATATATATATATATAACTGCCTAACATGCCAACTAGTGTAGCTGAGAATTCTATTACCTCATCCAGGTGCCTCCATTGGATCTATATGACAGATGATAATTCATGTCTCATCTAATCGGGTTCTTATCTAAGATGCTAAAACTACCAATGGATATCTATTCTTGAAAGAGATTTTTATGGGCATCAGCTAGCAAATGTTCAATTCCATAATATTGGATTGGCTTCTTAGACCAACTTTAAGGGGAAAAAACTTTAAGGGGAGTGCTGAGAAGCATCAAATAATATTTTATATGCTTCTATGATGCCTGCAATAATTCCATCTCTTAATTTTAGGATTTACATGGAAATTGTCATTTGCAAATTTATTATTTTCACTCCATTTAGATTATAAGGTCTATTTAGTTATAACTGTTCCACAGATTATCAATAATTACCAAATGGAAGGGGGTATTAGATTCATTTCCAGCAAACCCTAACCTTCCATCTAGTTTAGCTCTTCTCCTTTCTTCTTCCTTTGTATCCTTCATCCTCCTATCGTAATCAAGATGATGGTAAAAGAACAAGAATATGTCATGGACGTCTTAAGCCAACAACCTTCATTCTAAAGACATAAACCTTCACATTACACAATACCTATCAAAAGAAAAGGGAAAAACAAACAAACAGACCACCTTAAGTTAAAAGAACTAGTTTAATCTCATTTCTTACTGAATGTGTTCATCTACCAAAACAGAGGCCCATTTTACTATCCAAATGGGGTCTGTCATGAAATTTTCCCAATGTATTTCTCTCTCTTAGTTTCATTTATGTTATTATCTGATTCTTAATTGAAACAGAAAAACAATTGTAGATTCCAAGTAGGTGTTGACTTCCATTGTTCTGTAAGCATGCCAACATGTTCCCTAGAGTCAATACTTTCCCTTCAATGAACCTCAAACATGATTAAACCATGAAGAATCAATACAAGAATCTAATGAGAGCATATCAGCACCTTAGTAGACTGCAAAAAGAAATCTGTACGATCACAGACGTAGAAATAAAGCAGAATTGCCCCAAATTCCGATCTACATGACACATAAGATTTCATATGAGCAAGATTACATGTTAGAAGGAATCAAATCTAATTACATAATGCCACAAAATTTGCAAGGATAACAACTTACATGGATCTCAAAGTTGCTCGATTTTCAAGCAAGAATGAATCATCCATTGTTATGAACCTAAAAACTCCGAAGCCATAGAAGTTAAGCAAGATTTGGAAGTATAACAAAATTCTACCACGGAAAGGTGTAAGCAATGTTTATTGACCTTATTAGATTTGTTCTGATTGATGAATTATGAAATCTTGCAGACCCTGATTTTGTGAGGCCTCCTTCAAGCAAAACAGCTCGATCATCTTCCCTAATCGTCTCATTTCCCATTTCAACCAGATTGGCATCTGAGTGACTGTTAGAAAATGAGTCAAAGAAATATGAATCAAATGATTTTGACAGGAGATAGAGAGTGTATTTCTGCATAAGTTAAGCATGAAATGTAGAGATCAATTTTCAAGGTGGAAGTGCAAAGCAACTCAAGCAATGTCACTATTTTGGTTAATGGACTTAACAATGATTATCTCCAATATCAAATATTTTGTTTTTATGTGTCAAGATTGACGAGCAATTCTCCAGGGTTTCTTTTCAAACTTATGATCTTTAGGGTGCCAAATTCCTTTTCTGCCATTTCTCCCTCCCTCCCTTCCTCCCTCTACGTAGCAGATTTGAATCATTGTGATGTCCATATTTTAAAGTGGGCTCAAGAAATCAAATGCAAGCAAAATTTCACCATATTTGGATATTGCCACACATCAAGTTCCTTTAGGATCTGATTTGAATATGCAAATGAATTGGACATGAATCCATGACAACATTTTATGTTCAAATTCAGACCCAGATCTAAGAATTTCCCTATTTGAGTTTAGAATGGATCTTGTTGGGTTTGGTCTAGATCCAACTCATTCATGCCCTAATACAATAGTTTACCACCACATGATGCAAAACCAACACCCAAAGTGGTAAGTTCTTAAATCTCAATGGAATGTAATTACTAAATGTTAATTCCAAACCCACCAATCAAGTGTTTTTTCATATAGGGATGTGAAATTGTGAATATACCTTTCATGATTGTCTTTTTTCTTGTGAGTGTGTTGTTTTCATTCTCTTTCTACCCAATAAATTTACTTTCTTAAGCATAATTTAAGAAATAAACATTACTAGCCCTGAGACCACATGAGACACCATAATTTAAGAAATGAGACAGCTTTTTGGCACAGCTAAATCCTCCCAAATTCTCTAGCCAGTGAGAATTTGAGACAACAATCCTTGATTAATAATCCTTCAAATTTAATACATTGCATTCACATATCCAAAATAAACAATTCAATTGAAAATTATGTGAAAGTTCAAAACAAAATCATGGGATGAAAAGAAAGATCAAAATTATACTAGTTATTTCCAGTTTCTTATATAGGCTGTGTTTGGTTGCAATGCAAATAAATTTGCACTGGTGCAAAACCATGGCAATGCAAATGATTTGAGTGTAAATTCTGACCTATTTTTGTTTCAAATTTCAGCTTATTTTGTTTGATTGCAGTACAAATGAAGTAAATTAAGACATGAAGCAGAATAAAGTAAAATCCAAAACAAAATTAAACAAGAATTTGCATGTTTTACATTTGCACTCCCATGCATTTGTACTAGTGCAAATAAATTTGCACTGAAACCAAACACAGCCATAAGGATTGCTGATTTGATCATTCCACATCACATGTAACAAGTTCTTGCAAACAAGATCATAAACACCCCATGTTGTAAAGAGGGAACTTACACTTTCAAAGGAGATGAGGACTTTCTATATTCCAGTATCTCTGAATATATCCAAGCAATAAGAACTGGGACAAATCCAAGCAAAAAAGAAGCCTGACACAATAAAACCAAAGTTTAACTGAAGATATAGATCAAAAAAAAAAAAAAAAACAAAGAAAGCATCAAAAGGAAAAGATGAAACACAGAATATTAGAAAAATCCCATTATGTATTCAAAAAATAAAGTGGAAGAATACAGTCTCATATATTTCATGGTTAATTCTCACATTTTCTTTAAAGATGAATTTGTAATAGTCATATAAATAAAAAGTTGTTAATAGTTTTTTTTTCCAAATTATAAGGCATTCAAATTCATGCTTCAAAATGAACCCCTAGTGCCTAGTTGTCCTTGGTTCCCAAGGACATCAGGCAAAAACAGAAGGTTTACAAACAAGCGTTCTTGCTTTTTTTATGGATAACCCCATTTGCTTTTGAACCAGGGTGGATTTAGTAGAAACACTACATTCCCCTTTCTGTGGGGAAATGACTGGTGCAACAGTAAAATGTCGGGCTGTAGTGTGAGAATGCAGGTTTGAATCTGAGAGCAGCCACTTCGTGGGAAAAAATGCTCAAGATTGGGTCCATATCCACTCCTCCCAAGATAATAATGGATATCTAGGACCAGCATTGGGTATTGGCCATTTAACAATACATGTTACCATTTTACAATGATTCCCTTCCAAGTTGTAAGGAATACCCCAAATGTAAAAAAGAAAATATCTTTAGGCATTAAAATCCTGATGCACAACCCTCATTTTGATGTTATTAATGTGCTGACTGGTAGTTAAACTCTGATGAAGATTGTTTTATTTTTCCCTCCAAGATGTATCAAAGAATAGCAAGGGGAACAAGAATTGAAAAGACATGACCTGAAATGCCAAAATTTCTGCCACTGCATTGACTAAACAAGTCCTAAAAGTCAAGATGGAATTCTCGAAAAATATCACCCAACATTTCAAAATATATGGTAAGAAAAGACCTTGGCATTCCTTGAACACATTATGCAAACACAATGGACTTTGTATTTCTACTCTTTTAAGACTCTTCAACCCTGAAACATGTTAACATTCTTGAAATTGTGGACCACACAACTGCTTTAACATTTCGAAAGGCAATAAGCCTCCGGGTGTTGTTAGCTGGTAGAGAATATTTGGTTGGCAACATATGCTTGACTCTAATGAAAGTTGGTAGAGAATTTTCAGGAAATCCCAATTTGCTCCAAGCTAGACAGATTTCTACTTTATGAAAGTTGGGAAAACCACTGGAAAGACTTGCTAGCCAAAGCATTGCCCAGGGTTACTTCCGACCATTGTCCAATTGCACTTGGACAGGAACCGTTTAGGTGTGGACCTCGACCTTTTAGATTTGAAAACATGTGGCTGACACACCCGGACTTTTTAAAGAGTGGAAGAATGATGGAGTGAAGAGATGAGGGGGGGGGGTGAAGGGGAAAGGGGTCAAATTCCTTAAAAAGTTGAAGAACCTAAGAGAAAAGTTTAAAGAATGGAATAGGGACCAATTTGGGAGAATAGAGGAGTTGAAATCCGCTTTGTTGTCCCAAATAGAGGAACTAGATGCGAAGGAATCCCTTAGAACAATGAGTGGACAAGAAAGAAAACTAAGATGTAGGCTTAAAAAGGAGTTAGAAGAGATCCTCTTACATGAAGAAATCTCTTAGAGACAAAAATCTAGACACAAGTGGATCAGGAAAGGTGATGGAAATACCAAATTCTTCCATGAAATAGCCAATGAGAGGAGGGAAAATATGGTGACCGAACTTGAAGTGGATGGATTGGGAATTGGATTCCCAAGTGAAGATAGCCAACTGCTTTGTTAATAATTTCAAATCTATTCTAAGGAAGCCACTAGGAAGTAGATTGGAGTTGGTTGATTTGGAGTGGCCGAACCTTTCTGAAGAAGACAAGGATTGGTTGGAAAGGAATTTTGAAGAGAAAATCTGACAAGTAGTTTTTACCATGGATAGATCTAAGGCATTAGGATCGGATGGGTTTACTATGGCTTTCTTTCAAGATTGTTGGAATATAATTAAAGATGATTTGTTTGAGGTCTTTAGAGAGTTTGAAGATAGATTTGTCATTAGTCGTGGAATCAATGCAACTTTTTTAGCTTTGGTCCCAAAGAAGAAAGAGGCCATACATCCCAAAGATTTTAGACTAATTAGCCTAGTGACCAATATTTACAAAATCTTGGCTAAGGTCTTGTCCTTGTGGATTAAAAAGGTGATTCCCTCTCTCATTAGTCAAGCTCAAGGTGCCTTTGTCCAAGGAAGACAAATAGTTGATTAGATATTAATAGCAAATGAGTGTGTAGAGGAGTTGAGAAGATCGGAATCTCGAGGTTTTGTATGCAAATTGGATCTTGAATAGGCCTATGACTTGGTGGATTGGAGATTTTTACAAGAGGTGCTTTGGAAGTGTGTGTATGGAGACAGATGGTGCAAATGGGTAAAATGGATACCTTACTTCTTGCCATTATTCAGTCTTAGTCAATGGGGGAGGAAATGACTTCTTCCCAGCCTGTAGGGTTTAAGACAAGGAGATCCGCTCCCCCCCTTCTTATTCACATTGATTGCCAATGTATTTAATAGGTTGTTATTGGCAACAGATAGGGATGGATCAATAAGAGGTTGGAGAATAAGAAGAAACCAAGTACCTGTAACTCACCTTCAGTTTGCAAATGACATTATAATTTTTTGTGAAGGATCTAAAGTGATGAGAGTGCAGAATTTTTTTGTGAAGGATCTGAAGTGATGGGAGTGCAGAATCTGAAGAATCTAATTTCATTCTTTGAGAATGCTTCCAACTTGAAGATCAATCTTGAGAAGAGCTGTGTGATATGGCTAAACTTAGATCAAAGGGAGTTAGAGTCTATTGTCACCTGCTTAGAGTGCACCATTTCTGAGTGGCCCTTGAACTACTTAGGACTTCCCCTAGGTGCTAACCCAAAGGAAAGTCGACTCTGGGACCCTGTGGTGGAAAAGTTTGAAAAAAAGGTTACTGGCTTGGAAAAAGAATTACATCTCATTGGGTTTCCGGGGGTCACCTTAATCAGAACTACTCTTTCCAATCTCCCTATTTACTTTCTATCCGTTTTTAGGATACCCTCCAGGGTAGCTAAGAGGTTAGAAAAACTGATGAGGGACTTCTTATGGGAGCGAGGAGAAGAGAAAAATGATCACCTGATTAGTTGGGAGACTGTTAGCCATTGTAAGGAAGAAGGGGATTAGGAATAGGGAACTTAGTTAACAGAAATGAAGTTCTTTTAGACAAATGGCTCTAGAGGTGGCCTGTGGAAAGAGAGATTTTGGCATGAAGTGGTGGCTAGTATCAATGGCTGTTATGAAACTAGATGGGATACTGGGGTGTCTTCATGGGCTCAACTCACTACTCCTTGGAAGGCAATATCCAACATTCTCCTTAAATTCCTCAAGTTTGTAAGGTATGATGTTTGCTTGGGTAACTCTGTTCTTTTTTGGGAAGATGTTTGGGTGGAAAGAACAGAATACCAAGATATTCAAAGGAAAAGAAAGGACTCCTGAGGAAGTTAAGGAGAGTATATTAACAAGGGCCATCCTTTGACTAAAGACTTATGACTTGTTTGTGGATTATTCTCATGATGATATTTGGAGGGGTTGGCCAACGGTGGTTTCCGTAGTCTCTAAAAAGAATAGGACACAAGTGAGGTGGGCACCTCCTCCATAAGGGGTTGTAAAGCTGAACTTGATGGTAGCAGCCAAGGCAACCCAGGGCCCTCAGGCATTGGAGGGGTCTTGAGGGACAAGGACAGCAACATTATCTCTTTCTTCATAAAATATCCCTTCTATAGTTCTAATGGTAAGGTGGCCCCATTTATAATCATTTCGTCACTTATCTTGCTTCTTGGGATGCATTCAAAACCCTTCTATCATCCCATCAGCTTCCTTATGTTAATGTCTTGATGCACCCTCTTCATTACACAGCCCAAAAATATGCTATCCCACTGCCATCACCACTTCCCAGCTGCTTCTCTACCACCCACAGATCAATCATAGCTTTGATAAAAGTCTTTTGTGCCCCCTATTCATGGACATGTCATCATCTTCAACCTCCGTACATACCCCTTCAATCTCCATAAGAATATAAGAGGTCATGGAACTATGCATTGATATATCTTTAATCATGTCTAATTGGTTGTTATACCATCTTCTTTTGGTAATTGGTTGTTATCCCATCTTTTGAGGATTATAGTATTTGAACCCATTCTTCTCTTGACTGTAATTTTGGAGTGGAGTTACCATAAAGTCTCAACTCTACAATTCAAAAACTATGACTTTACATAGTTGTAATCTCCTTTTTTAAAATCACTTATAATATGATGTCTTTATGAATTGACTGTTTAGTTGAGGGAGCGAAGGGATGAGGTTATGCTCTTTGTTCTGGGGCATTTACTCTTGCTTATCTCTTTTAATGCAAGATCTGAAACTAAAGAAAAATCATTGAGGTAGTCCTATGGTTTTTTTTTCCTGATCAGTTCTTATGGCTAATTTTCAATCTTCTAGCAATTTACTATTCTTGGTAAAAAAGAAACGCAAGAGATAGGGGTGGTAGAAGGGGAAAATATTAGTGTTGAAAAGGTACGTCTCATTTTGTTTGTGTCACTTTGTGATTTTGTTTTATATGTGAGTGGAAGTAGCAGTTAGGGAGGTTTGTTTAGTCTTTCTCTTGGGATTGGACAATGGTAGGATTGGGGATGCGAAGTGTTGATTTTCTGGATAGCAAGTGCTTTGTGTTTTTAGGGCTGTTAGTATAGATTGTATATTGCCTCTTGGTTGGTCGGTTTTCACTTTGGGATGCAAAGATCGAATTATACTTATTCTGCTTTTTTTTCTTTAGTTTTAATTGATTTTTTCCCTTTCCATACAAAAATAATTCTTGGTAAAAATTGAAAGTATCATTTACAGTATTTATTATTTTAGTAATTTCTTATTTCTTTAGATTATGTTATGGAGTTTCTTTCTTGCTTTAAAGAATTTGTGTTGAACTTGAGGTTCTTAGGTTAACTAATATTTTTCTTGGTCATTAAATTTTTTTAGTTTGTTAAGAACAGTTTAAGCTTGGCCTACCCTAGAGCTTTATAGATCTATTATAAGACTTAAAATAAGTGAAAGAATACATATGACTTAATTTGCAGTTCTATCCTATTGTACCTTGTGAGATACAATATCTCAAATCCCTCTCTCTTTTATCACTTCTCAGCTTGCTTGCCTTGAGCACAAGTACCACATGTTTCTCTATGCTGTGTGCCTCTACCTTATATAGCTTATAGAGCTATTAGCAGTTGACTGTGTGCTTCTAATGTATGCAACTACAACTTGTTCTTCCCCTTACTTTCACCTTTTTTTTTCCATCTTAAATCCATTAATATCTTCACCAAACATATTATAACCTTCTGAAATCAATCAACAAGCATTCTTTAGCCTATTTTCCTCTAGGATTTACAAATTTCAGTGCTTTTTTTCCATTATGCTCATCACAATTTGTAGGGCTTTCTCTTCCCTATCCTGCATCACTTCTCTCAGCTCAAATTCCTCAAATTTAAGTCCTAGTTGTTATACTCTAATGCACTATGAATTAAAATCCTCTCCTTCCAACATCTTAGGTTTGAACCCTAGAGTCAAGTGTAGTTTATTTTATTTTATTTTTGATGAATAAGTAATTTTATTAAAGAGAATAAGGAAGAGTACAAACAGCCTTGGAGGTGGCACGAGATGCTACCTCCCCTTTGGGATGAGTACAGACCCAAATCTTATCAATAAACATAACAGAACTATAGATTAGCCCAATACAAAGAAGCCCGAGAAGCACCTTGTTTAGCCAAAGAGTCTGCCAAGGCATTTGCTGATCTGCTAATCCACTGGAAGCTAACTGACATATTCCTTGTGATCCATTTTACTTTTTTCAAGAGACCTTTGTAGCCCCAAACAGCACTGTTTTGGATTCAGCATCCAACCCACTACCACCCTGGAGTCTCCTTCTACTATTAGGTTCTGCACCCCAAGACAGCTAGCAATCTGTAGGCCTTGTACAGCTGCTAGTGTTTCAGCCCTTGTTGAGTCTCCAACTCCCACCGGACCTGAGAAGAAAGAGATAATGTTGATGCCCTTGTCCCTCAAGACCCCTCCAATGCTTGAGGGCCCTGGGTTGCCTTGGCTGCTACCATCAAAGTTCAGCTTTACAACCCCTTCTGTAGGAGGTGTCCACCTCACTTGTGTCCTATTCTTCTTGGAGAATACGGAAACCACCGTTGCCCAACCCCTCCGAATATCATCATAAGAATAATCCACAAACAAGTCAGAAGTCTTTAGTCAAAGGATGGTCCTTGTTAATATACTCTCCTTAACTTCCTCAGGGGTTGTAAAGTTAGTTCATAATTACTTATTTCTGTTGTCCTCCTCCTAAAGATAGCATATTTTTGGGCTGTGTAATGAAGAGGGTGCATCAAGACATTAACATAAGGAAGCTGATGGGATGATAGAAGGGTTTTGAATGCATCCCAAGAAGCAAGATAAGTGACGAAATGATTATAAATGGGGCCACTTTATCATTAGAGCTATAGAAGGGATATTTTATGAAGATGCAGGTTTAGGATGAGATGAAGGTGTGATGTGAAGGGGTGAGTATGAGGAGTTGCATGTTGAATGGAAGAAAAAGATTGTTGTTCAGGGCTTCTTTCTGAAGTTGTTTTTTTTAGGTTTTTGTTTTTTGTTTTCTTTAGTTTAAGAGTATGTGTCTATTTATGGGTAGGTCAAGAAATCTGGTAGGGGTTTTGCAATGAAGGGTTTTTTGTTAGGTTCACTCTTTGGATTCCTTGGTTCCATTGGGTAGAGTTATGTTTCTAATAGGAATAAGGAATGAGCTTTGTTTGTTTTTGTGTTGCTTGGAAATGTCGTATCAACTTGGGTTGTATCAGTTTCCTCTTTTCCTACTTAAATAAACTTTCTATTTATTATTTTAAAAAGGGATTTTTATGGAAATGGAAGTACCATTAAAACTGGAGAGGGAAGAGTGTCTAAATGTATATGAAAACAGACTTTCACCGTTCCAAAATGATTTTGTATACTGCAATATTTTGTAGATGTCCTGCTTTTATCAAACTAGCCTTGTGGTGGCTCTTTTCCTCCCCCTTGGCCCCTTTCCCCCAGGCCCTCCTGGGGGTATGGAACCTTTCATATGATAAAAAAAAATTTCAATAAAGTAAAAAAAGAAAAGTTATCTCAGCACAACAGGACGGTTGTAATCAAAGGGTGAAAAGGTGTGCCAAGTACTAAAGTTAGTTCATAATTACTGATCAAACAGAAAAAAGTTAGTTCATAATTACCATGGTATGCATCATTTCAACCTTTTCCCATGCTCACTGCTTCATAGTGAGCACTGAAAGAATAGAAATTCAAATAGAACCAAAGGTAAAGATTCCTTCAAAATCAGTATAACCCAGGATATATTAGGTAGGGTATGAAGTTAGTAAAAATTTCTGCACTGAAAGCCATTTCATAAGTTTATTCAAGATCCCATCTATTAAGTACCCAATGTATTTATATAGAAAAGGTGTTAAAACCAGTCTTCGAATAAGCATCTCAGCTTCCTGTTGTATACTATAAGTAAAAGGAACATTACCCCATTATGGTTCAGGCTATCCAGGGTTTGGGAGGGGGTAGACTGGACATGGACCTATCCTCTGGTTTATTGTTTTTTCACAAAGTGGCTGCCCAAAGACTCAAACTGTCATTCTCTTGCTTGTTGGGTTGAGATTCTTCTGCTTTACCAAGCAATGGCTCCTAAAAGAGGATTTTCAGAAATGGATCAACAGGGTATACAATGTTGGTTAGTGATTGCCTTCGATCTGAAAACCATCTAATTGCTGAAAGTTACTAAAGAATTCACAACTCACAAGGCCTTTTTTGTTCTTTTATCATGGTAAATAAAGGATATTCATTAAGCTGAAATAATAAGGGTGCATAGAGGTTGAGGCCTCAACATCATCAAAACAGATGGTCTCAAACCCCAGAGAATAGTTGTCCAAGGTGTCTCCTAGGTGACTAGGCACCCTTGGCTGGGTGCCTTGCCTAAATGCCTTGACTTATAGCAACAAGGCGCCTGCCTAGGCAATAAAAATAACAAGGTGGGTGCCCTATTATAATATCATTAATATTGCTACATTTTACCAATATGTGTGTTAATGCATTATATATATATATTAAAATTTAAAAGATCAAAGGGTTTTTAATTTTTGTCATGTAAAATTATAGCCCTCTTTTTTCATTGATGGATATGGAATTTCTCTATTAAATATTTGATCAATAATTTCTCTATCAAATACTTATTATGTCAGTATTACTTTTGAAGATATTGAAATCAATATTATTTAAAATACTTTTATCTTTTAGATATAATGATTTGCCTTGTTTTGAGAGGAAATTTAATGTTCTTAATTAAGAAATTTGATATTCATCCAATTAATAATTTAATATGCATGCCGAACAGCTTAGTTCTTTAAATTATAATATTCTTATCACCTAGGTGACTAGGTGACTAGGCACCACACTTTACCCAAAGTCACCTAAATGTCTTGACAACCATGCACCAGAGGAGGTAATATTGTGTCCTCAAAGAAATCATGAAGTCCTTTACAGTTCTGATAATTGTCCAATCTAATTCAGCATATCCTCCAGTACCAAATAGCATGTCAATAACCAAAACCAGTTCACCAAATGTTCACATGCCAGAGAAAATTAATAACAAACTAAGACACTCACAAACACATCCATCATTCATATTTTGTGTTTTCCTTTCCATTTCTACAATTCAAATAAGTTCGTCATATAGATATACACAACAAATGCCTGGAAACCTACCAGGCCTTCAGCCACATGTAACAACCCCTCTACAACTCTACATGCATTTCTGGTCCTACCCTCTAGAAATCAACCTTGCTAGAGTTATATAGACCGATTTTACTGGAGCATAGTTGCATATGGTATTCTTATGGAATAGTTCATTCCACAAAAACCAGAAATTCAAAATTTAAGGGCGGATTTCTGGAGAGTAGACAATGCTAGATAATATCAACAACAATAACAATAGGAAAAAGGAGGGGAACATATACAGAGATAATTCGCAGAGAAACAACATCTCAATGCATTATCATGGATCCGAATAAAAATTGCGGTAAAAACTCTCAAATTAACGAGGCAATGTGAGAGTAAAAATCCTTCAGCATTTGGACATTGTCATAATCAACGTAAATCGCCAAAAAGGAAAATAACAAGAACAAAAAAGTTTACCTGGCCAGGCGTCACAGACCCGGAAACCACCATTTTGCTCTGCAAATCGGTCAAGAACAGAAACAAGAGACAGAAATGAATCAAACCATCGATACATAATCACCATTAGAGAACAGCGAAAAGAAATCGAGGAGTAGAGAGAGCGAGTACCAGTAGAGGGTTGGGTCTATGCTGGTCACAGTGATGTAATGGAGATCGTCATAAATACGAGAAGAAAGCCTAATAAAAAAATCGACGAGAAGGAGATCTGAAGCAACGACCAGCCTTTGCCTTTGCTTTGAATATCGAGAAAACGTTGGAAGGGACGTCGCTCTCTCAGCAGGTAAACCAACCGTTGATGGTTGTTGCTCCTCTAACCATCATCTGTCTCAGAATCTTCTCTAGTTCCCACACACACACCCAGAGAGAGAGAGAGCGCAAAGGTAGAACGAGCCCCAGAATATTACATTGCAACGGACACCACACTTGATCATCGATCTCACCCATCAGTAATAGGGCAAGTGATCAATGCCAGATCCACGGTCGTATATTGAAGTGGGTCTATCCAAGCTACACATGATCATTTCATATGTGAAGATTTTTTTCGGTAGGCGATGTGATTGGAATCTTTTTGGTTGGTGGTTTGGATGTTCTGCAGCAATTAAAAAGTATTCCAATCCAGTGGTTTAGGCGAAACTATAGCTTCATGTAAACCCGAACGGCGGACAAATAATAAAAAAGTCCACTCAGGCACCCACTCCACAAGGCCCGCCGGGATTTCGTGACTCGGAAGAAAAAGGTTGTTATATTGTGTATATAAGGTGTATCACTTTCGGTCTACCGCAGAACTGAATATCTGATCTTTGATTTGATCTTGTATCCATCTAGTGCAAACCGGAAAGCTGGTTTACACGGTCTGGCAAGTTTTTCTAGAAGATCTTTCGAGCTTTTTTAAAAGACCACTAGACCAAAAAAATGTTTTTATTTATTTATTTTTTATGTTTGCCTGTTTGGTAACAAAAAAATGAAAAGCCAGAAAGATCGAAGTCTCACAAGAATCCAGATTCCGGATATGCTCCTCACAACACATCCCAGCCGCACATAAGAAACATTTTCATAGGAAGATATTTCCAAATAGGGATGTGTTATGACATTCGTGTGAGGTGTGTGAGCAAATCCTTATTTGTCTTACAAAGCTTTCAAAATCTCAAAATGATCAAAAAAATTGGCAAGTCTTTTTTGAAAAATCTTTTAGAAGATTTGACAATCAAAAGATGTAGTGGGTTTTACAAAAGGTTAAAATATCGATATGGGTACTTAGATACACATAGAAATATATTTTTCTAGTTTTTTTTTTCAAAATTCGGTTTTGGATAATTAAATATAAGTATTTTTTATCAAAAAAGAGTGGAGTCCCGAAACACTTGTAAACAGGCGTATCAAAACCCAAAAGATAGTATTATATTGAAATTTTAAACATTGTTTTTACATAAAGATCTTGACAGCCCACAGACCATTTGGTTAGAGATGCATCTTTCCATGCGCAAAATCAAGACAAAAAAAATGTAAGAAACTTAATTTCTAACTTTCTAAATTTTGTCGAATACATCTTCCCCCAACTAAATGGGAAAGACGAAAATATGGGTTGTAGGGCTTTCAAACAGCCGACAGCTCATGCCAAAAAACGTGCCAAACTAGGCCTAGAAAGCTTCATTTCAATAAACTACGAAAAGTTTTTATCTTTAAAGACAAGGCCCCGAAAGCTTAGTACATGATTTAGCCATCTTGACCAAATGGCACTCAATTTAGTATTTAGTAACAATAGATGGCGGGACCCATTTGAAAGGTTTTAGACGAGGTGCATGATCATATATGATGCTAAACTGGTGTGTACTTGATGCATGGAATAATTTACCCCTTGTCCCTTTTGCTTCAAAGTTCAAAGTTCAAACGAAGAGTTGCTTTCCTGATTTCTTTGTTTGGTGAACTGTCTTTTTGCTCTTCTTCCGTCTTTTGTAACTCACGCCATTAAAAGTGGATATCTAATTAATGGCTGTGAATGATTCCTTTTGTTTGGGAGGAAAAGTAGGGTCCTCATTTTCAAGGCAAGGCAGTCTACAACCGTAGACCTGTTATGAATTTTTTGTTTGAAATTGAAAAATACACTAAGAAAATAATACAAAAACAAACTAACAAATAGAGGTGTTAATGGACTGGTTTTGAGTTGGATCACGTCTAAACCAAAATCAATTTAAACGGATTAGATGAACCAATAAGATACTAAATTGAATCAGTCTAAATTTACTGGTCAAAAATATTTATTGGATTGGATTGGACCTGGTCCATCTGTAATAAATTTATATTGGATTGGGTATTTGAGTCAATATCTGATCCATTGATAGAAGATAAAAATATAAGTATCAATAGACCAGGTTTAGTTTGGAATTAATCTAAATTAAGATGAATATAAACAGATTGTATGGTCTAACATTGAATTAAAACGGTCCAAGATGGCCCTAAATATTCATTGAATTGGATTAGACACTCACTTTGGAGTAATGGATCAGATTGGACTAAATCCAGTCCATTTAACACCCCTATTAACAAACTTCAGTTCAGAGACACAAGATGCTAAACAACAGAAAGCCGCGAGCGAACCATTTGCTCCACTAGCTAGCCGAACGACCAGGGGGCTGTACTGGGATTTCACAAAGTAGTAACAGCATTCGCTGTTCGGGTCCAGCCCGATAATAAATGTCTGGGCCTACTATTCGGGTTTATCAATGTAATTCAATAATAGGGGTGTAATTTTACATAGATTGGATCAATTCTGCGCCCAGGCCTAATCCTTATTTAGTCCGAGACTAATCTGATTCTATACATAAATGCAAGCATAAGTAGATACATAATTGCATATTGGTATATACAAATACATATATTTATGTCAAATTTTAGTGAAGATTGGATGAACAATCCAAGCTCGAATCCAATCTAAATACATCAAATTTTAGTGTAGATCAAGTATGAGTTGGAAAAATCGGGCTTGCCCTTGGTTTTCAATCTGGTCTTGGGCATTAGGCCCAATTCTTGGAATTGAAATCAGCCCCCCACAAGATAATTTTCCATGTCCCACAGTTCATCCGCACTGTGTATTGGAAACAACTTCCGATGATTTCTCATCGTTTTTGATACTATCATTGAGAGATGTTTCCCAATACACGGCGGAGATGTGCTGTGGAATGTTGTGGGGGGGCTGATTTGAACTCCAATTCTTATAGTTGGACCAGGCTTTTTAAGGCAAAAATTTTAGGTATCGAAGCTGGGCTAGACCAAGTTTGGAAGAAAAACTTCTACTTAGTTACAACCCTAGTGATCATCTAGTTAAAATCGAGCCACGTGGAAATTAAAGGAACTGGCAATCAAAGTTGAGAGTTCCCCTCCAAACTGTCTTTTTTTTTAGGAAAAATTACTTAAACCTCCCTTATGCTTTGATATATTCCCACTTTTGCCTATGATTAATATTATTAAAGTAGAGAATGAGTACAACTCAGATTGGCCCGAGTTAGCATTTTATACTACTTCAAGTTCAGGCATTTAAGCCGGGCTCATTCAAATATTGACAAAAGTCCAACCCAAACCTGCCCAAGTTGCACCCCGTAACAAGGATTTTTCTAATGATTCAGTGATTGATAGATTGTTTTGTAGTGTTTAAGTAATTGTGAGAAATAAAAAAAAAAAAGTGAAACAATAAGGATGGTAAAAAATTGGAAACCAAAAAATAAATTGAAACCGGTAATCCAAATAAAAAAATCTGGTTAATTGAACAAAAAAAACTATGATCATATAACCAAATTAGTAGCCAACTAGTTGATTCAGTTTGGTTTTGGATTGAATTAAAAAAAATGTGCCAATGAACCAGTCAAACCCCTAGAGTTGAATATAATTCCTATTTTGCCCTTATTTTGTAAGGGTTCGTTTTGAGTAATAATAATAATAATAATAATAATAATAATAATAATAATAATAATAATAATAATAATAGTAATAATAATAATAATTGACCTTTTATTTTTTCTATGTTTTTATTTTCTTAAATCACAAGTGCAAATTCCATTCAACATTGAAATGAACACATATCAACTCGAACAAAATAATCTCAAGGAGATAGATAAGGACCGAGAAACTGGATTTAAGACAGTAAAGAGTATGCTTTGCCACATTATACTCCTCAGCATTGCAGATCCAAATTGGATTAAGACAGTGTGCGGTTGTAGTGTCTTGTGGGTAGGTTGTAGGTACCGTTAATGGGTAGCAGATCCAAACCCTATCTTTATAAAATTGTAAGCACCAGTTTACTATAAAACTTATCCTATGATAAATTGATTAGGGCACAACTCTTTTTCATTTATATAAAGCATATATTTGCCTTGGATTTTGTGTAAGTCATAAAAGTTAAATCCAAATACCATATATATCATATATGGTTATTACTTACCTTGGGTTTGATGCAAGTCATAAAAGTTAAACCCAAATACCAATATGATATATGATTAATACTTGCTTACTTGTATATGTGCATAGCATGTATTCTTACACTAGTTAAAAAATGAATTCATAGGGGCGCTTTTTTTCGAAGGTATGTACTTCTTCAAAAAGTAGAGTGTATCCCTTTTAACAATTAGGGTGTCTTGAAGGTAGTGTGAGTAGCCTTCTTGTGAGTATATAGCAAATCTGGAACAATTTAGGGGATGATACATATAGACAAACACTAGACCTATTTATGGGCCAGGCTTTAGGCCTAACTTTACACTGTTTTGGGCTCGGGCTTTAAATTGGGCCCATTCAAATTTTGGCAGAAGCCAAGCCCGAGCCCGGCCCATGAACAACAAGTCTAACAAACACCCCCTTAATTTAGAGTCTTGACATATAGGTCTTTTATTATAACTCTAGCTTTATGCAACACTACTCAATTAAAAATTAATAACTCATATAGGATTAGCTCTAGGCAATTGACCAAGTCCTCTAGCTAGATGGCCATCACTTTTTATTGAACCGTGTTTATTTGGGGAAACAAATTACTTGTTGAACTTTTTTCTTTTAAGTTCTGTTTTTGAAGCATATTACATAGATCAATTAAATGATTTTAATTACTATCTCTATCTATATTATATAGAGGGAAGTGAGAGAGTAGAATCATCTCACCTCAATGCTCACATGAAACTCCTCCATTCCTTTCTCACACTCTAGCAAGTAAAACCTTGAGATAATGCACAAGGTCAATTAGAAATTAAATTTAGTTAGGATTCAAGCTTAACAGTAGTCATTCTCTATAATCCCCTCAAGCCAAGGTTTGTACTACTACCCGAAATAGAGGATGGTTTGTCTATATATTTTCATATATTTTAATTGGTAAAGAAAACACATTTTTTT